TATATGAAACCTTCCCCCACCTTTCACGTCCCCACTGACGTCGTGGCCGAGTCAGCAGATGTAAAATTTAGCTACTGAAATTGACTCAGGATTTTATTGCCAAAAAAGACAAAAATATATATGCATCTTCTGTTCCCTCATCACGCCTGCTATCGGAAGGAATTCCATCCCTTGTGTTCTTGTACGTTTTCGAACAGAAGTGACCTGTCTGCTAACATGGCCACCTATAACATACCCCATATTCGATCATGGCCTCCTGTTACCAGTGGATACAAAATATTGCAGAAATACACGAGGCAATTTACAGTTTCAAATCTTCATCGATTTGACATTTACGCTAAGACACACATCACTGTCCCAACAGCACCCGCGTAAACGGGTGATTTGAAAAGGCCATAGCTCGGTAGGTAAGAGTCCGACTGGGGCAAAATCTCTGGTGGAAACCCTTCCGGAAGACTCTCGGAAAGCAAAACCTTGGGTTCGCTACGCCCCTTTGGAATAACCTGGGGTCGCTTAGCTCCTAGAGGGCAGACAGACAGACATACAGGTGGACATGTACGATCTCATAAGGCGTTCTTTGCTTGAAGAACATCTGTTAATGGTTTCACATACTGAATGCCTCGAGCTGTAGGTATGAGATAAATATATTTCAGTTTGTGAGAGACTGACAGCGGAACTTAATTACGAGATGGAATCTAACATAAAGTCTCGAAAGTTGAGATGTTTATACATTCGATATTTTTGTTGGGAAATCTCGTGAAAGTAAACCAAGATTTCTTGGGAGATCAGGGTTAAAGGTAATTTTAAATCGGAACTTAGTGGATTCAGGAGCGAAGGTATGACCTCGGATGTCCTGGATTAGGACGACGTCAGATGGAGGGATTATATAATTACAGTTATGGAAATTCGTGTTTCCTGGAGAACTAAATTTACACTGAGCTACTGAATTATGAGCCTTATGTACGAGACTCGATCCCTGGGCTGTGCGTTGAATTTTCTTTGCTACAGGCGAAATGTTCACGACGAGTCTACGTATCCAGATTCAGTACAATTAAAGTAATTGTATAGGAGTGTTGTATTCATCTCCGGTTGAGATGGGTATTATGCTAAGATGAAGAAGGATAAAGCATGAGCATGTAGCACGAATTTCAACGAATAATAATAAATATCATTCAAATTCTCGTTCGGAAATTACGACCTCCTAGACGACCTAGTCGTATTTGGGAGGCGAATAATCATCACCATATATTTATTTTGTACAGTCTATACACAAACGTTTGAAGTTTATTGGTGTTGTAAAAATTATATAATATTAAAACATTTTGTTGTGTAAAATATTATATTAGCGCTCTTAATCGTAAATACGATTTTACATTATATTTTTTAGCGCTTTTATTAAAACGACATGTTTCGACGGGTAATACCGTCGTCTTCAGGTTTTTATCAATTTAAAATATTTTAAAAACTATTAGATATTTGATGCAATATATTATAATGATCCGTAGTTCTGTTTTACAACACCAATAAACTTCAAAAGTTTGTGTATAGACTGTACAAAATAAATATATTTAATCAAACACAAACATGACACATATAAGATACAAAAAGATAATATTAAAATTGATCTTAAAGGGACTACAACGCAGAAGACAGGAGTCTTCGTACTCACTACCGTAAAAACCTCAAATCCTATCAAATTATACTCAGTTTATCACATTACTATTTTCGTCTTCACAATATTATAGTCGCTACTTTCAGTGAGTTATGCTTTATGCGAAGCAGCTGCACTGAGCACAAGTTACAATAGAATTTAACATTTGCAATGTAAAGCAAATAGACGAGTTTTCACGCATTCAAGTCACCTAACTGCTTTCGTTACATTGAAAACCTGAAGTCATACGAATATAATGTGCATTTCTAATTGAGGACACAACTTTGTGTCAGTCATAAGTGTTTGGTGTAAGTTCAATAGAGGGGATTAGTTCCACACGATCACGACAAGATGGGTGGATGGGTAGACAGAGAAATTGGCTGCCGGATTAAAAAATAAGGTGCGGTTACCACTGGAAAAAATCAAGAAGGCGTAAGTTATATTTAAATATGAGACACACACACACGTGAACAAGCATTCACACAAGTTAATATTGTTCTTCTTGGTTGTGGCGCCGTGTAGACTCGTCGGTAGATGCCAACGTTTCAG